AAATAACATTCTGTTGTTTGTGTTATCTTTTGATATTTTCATATTATTAAATATTATGAAACATCTGTGTCATCAGTCACATTTTTCATACAACTTAACGTAATATACTCACAAGGAGAATAATTTTTAAAGGGAGTTTGCTATCTGCTCGTTACAAAACTTTCTATTTATACTTGCCAGATTTTTGCCATTTGTCAGGTTGCAAAACAGTATTTTTATAGCTTAGGATAAAGTAGGCAACAGATTAAAATAACTTTTGTTAAAGATGCAGCTTATCCTTTATTGTATTCTTTCACTAACAATAATCTTTTCCAATTTCAGGCGAAATGCAATTAAATTCTTGGTGCCATTGATCCAGCAGTGTCCAAAAGATATATTGACAGCACAGGGACAAACATGGCTTCAGTTCTGCAGCATGGTAACAGCTTCTGCATCTCTTGTTTATACTGGGCCATCAACATAGGGATAGAAGACAGTTGATAAGAAATGGAATGTCAAATGTATATTAGTCTGTCTTTTTTTTTACTTTGATTTATTGATACTGGGAACTTTGCATAATGTGTTGTTTGTGCCTGTAATCTGTAATAGGGAGAGTTCTTGATATAGAAGTTATATATATCTATATTTATATATCTATCTGTCACTTTACTTGCCTATCTGTTGTATCTATTTCTCTAGGTACTATCTATGTATGTGTCAAATTCTCTCTCTCATATGACTGAAAATAAGTGATGTTCATGGGAAGTTATGGATAGAGATTAGTTGGTTAAATATATCATTTTCAGGACAATTGTACCTGATGTAGAAAAGCTACAAAAAAATACTTAGATAGAATAGTCAAGCAAAACTCTTAATTATTCCCTTTTTTTTTTTTTTTTTTACATCTGTTGATTGTTTTTAATCTTTATTACCCAACAGATTATAAGTGCACCCTCTGGAGCCAAGGCAAAACGCACTGCTTGCTATGCCATCCTTCTCCTTCTTGAGAGAATGCCAAAACTACCAGAGCTTCAGCGGAAGTTGGTATCACAATCTGCTGCTCCACTGGTCACATCTCTCGCAGGAGCAGTTTCCTATGTAATTATATTGACATTTTCTCAGTTGTGTAATCGGAAGATTTTCATTCCTTTTCTGTTCTTTGTTTTGATAATGAGAATTATTATTTATAGGAAGTAATGAATTGTTATGTACCTGCAGTGGAGTCCAGCCGCTCTCAAGTGTTTACAAGAGTACATGAAGGTGTTCCCACAACAATGCTTACCTCATAAGGTATTTATTCTCATATTTGTACATCAAAGAAGATGCACTATCAGAAAATGTGTTCCTTGTTTTTGTAAATGTTATTAAAGGTATGAATATTGTATTTACAAATAAATATATTTATGCATATAGATACGAAATCTATTATTATTATTGTTATTATTATTATTATTATTATTATTATTATTATTATTATTATTATTATTATTATTATTATTATTATTATTATTATTATTATTATTATTATTATTATTGATATTATTCATATTATTGTTATTAATATTATTATTATTCACTGAAGCATAGTTCAAGTAATGCAAATTTTATGTGTTATTAGTTGTATACGGAAAATGTATAAAATTTATTTTATATTTTCTTAACTGCCCAATCTTATTTTCTGTCACTGTAATAATAGTCCTACTGCTTCTTTCATGGGGTGCTAAAAATCAACAATTTTTGCATAGGCAGCCCTAGAGGAATTACTGCTGAAGAAACTGGACTCTGCCCTCACTTGCAATGGTCAAAAGTCAGAAGTGACATATGCAGGTCAGGCCTTTGCGACATTACCACTAGCTGGTATGGGAGGCAAAGGAACCAGCAGCCGTTCAGAGGCGAGGGGGCGGCAGCTAACTCAGCTCATTTGCTTGTCACATCACCTGATGGACTATCTTTTTGAGGGCATTGTTGAGAAAGAGGTAAGACCTGTGAAGATGTTTTCTTTGAATAAAAGTTGTTTAATAGATTGAGGAAAATGTTGATGGTATGTTCTCTTATTATGGGCTGTAATGGTATGAGTATTCAGTTTTTATTAGATTTTCTTGTTGACAGGTTTATTTATATATTTGCATGCTCATTTGTTAGGAACATTAGATAAGATATATGGGACAATGAATACTTGGTCTACTTTTTTTAATGATTTTCCTACATTGTAATAATATGTTGAGATTTTTTTGTCATAATTGTCCCCTCAGCTATTTAAAAAATACACCTGCCTAAGGAAAAAATTCCCTTGTTTTTGGAACACTTTTTTTTTTTTTTGTATATAAGAAATTGCTTTTTCACAGGGAAAAGTACTGTGTAACCCTATACATTGCCCATAAAATAGTACATGAAGGCAAAGGAAATCTAATTATTGCAGAACAAAGGAAGTTTTGTAAAATTGAAAGAATTCTTGGAACTCATAAATAGATCCCAATATCTTTACCATGCATGAAAGCCCTAGAAGCTAAAGAGATTTCTTCTTTGTGTGGACTAACACCATGAACATTACAAAAGTCGTATGAATTTCCATAAACTTTGTCACTCTTCTTTTGCAGTCCTATAACCACCCCAGAGAATACACATTCAAGCTGAATCCCCTGCAGCCCGTGGGTTATTACGATAAAAACCCACTCTACACACACATGCTGGCCATCACCAGATTAATGAACACATTGAAGTTCATCTCAGAAATGGTCTCCTGCGAAAATAATGATGCCATAATGATAAAAATGAGCGATTTGCTGGGCCCAGTCTTTAGGATGTTACAGGTATGTTCAGCGGTATTTCAGTGCTCAGTCTTTCAAAAGATATGATTCCTTATTGCGATTAGTGCCTTTGTTTAAATATTGGAATGATGAGTTTAAGAATTCATTTTTATTTTTACCTTTTTGATTGGTGTGAATGGACACATTTTAAAAAATCATATGTTGAAGCTCAGGTGTGCAATTAGTTATATTATAATGCATTTTGTAGAGAATATATACTTTTTATGCAGTGATATGAGTGATTAATTGAAAATTTCAAGAACTATATTTAGGAGTTTCAGTGTATAAGGTTTTATTGATTTAACCTGTTGGATACAATTGCATCATGGAAATCACAGCGCTGAAAATACGGGCAGAGGGTTACATAAGTGGCCAATATCCCGAGCATGCAGTACGTAGGCCTGGCACGTGCAAACACTCATGAGCGGTAACAAGACTCTGTGCCTCCCCTTTTGCAAAGTTATTTTGCCATTTTCCAATGTCCATTTTAGTCTTGATTTGCTTTATTGCGATGGTAATAGATTATTTACTACGCACATACTCCATATCATCGCTCTATGTTGTAGATAACTTAGTGCAAGAAAAAAAGTGTATTAGGTTGTTTGTATCATACATCATATTTTATCATAATTTTCAACTTTCCGTAGTAAAACCTGCGCCACCAGTCACAGCGGCCAGGAATACAATGCTGAGTATGGTAATGGTTTCCTCCCAGGAGCTGGTGCTGCTCTTCCAGCCATGGCTTTTGCACATTACATTCAACACACATTTATCAATGGGAATAATGCAAAAGGCCTCTTCTAAAGGCCAAATAAGTTTAATCACTCTTTAAGAGGTTTGTTGCACTTGTGGCATGTCATTTCTGTCACCCTGGCCTTCGCTCATGACAGCAGGTTCACATCACCCGGCCCGTGGCCATTTTGTCCGATGGCGGCATTTTTCCATGATAGGACTGACGAGTCACCAGGATATGGTAGGGGAATTGTTTTGGAATGAGTATATGTTAAGATATGGAGAATAACTGGAGTACCTTAATATGAGTATTGTTAGAATTCAGTTATGAACAAATTTATAATGATTATGGATCGTTTAGGAAAAAGTTTGTTTAAATATGGAAGAGTAACAAGAGTACCCTGAAACTGATATTATTAATTTTAAATATTTAGGAAAATATTCCTTTATTTTGATAGTTGTTTGTTTCTGGTAAGAGTTTTATTCCTGAATATGTGCTATAAAATGAAATAATGTAAAATGAAACAATTATTTCCATTAGAAATAAATGAAAAAAGATAGTTTGGGTTCCCTAACCTCACACCCAATCTCTATGTATCTAAGAATATTGGAAAATGATTGAATTTTAGCAAAATAAAAACCCTTGATAAATAATTGACAGAAATAGTGTGAATTATTATACACAATGATAAAAGATTGATATACTGAGCTTGAGAAAAATTAATTGAGTGACAGTGGCCATTCACAGAGATACCAAACAAGAGAGGTTAAGGAAAGCAATAATTTTTCACTCCTCTTCCACTGCCGCTTAGGGAAAAAGCCATCCAACATGGCTTGTTTGTTGCCTCCCTTTGTATAATCCTTTATAAGAGCAAAAATATTTTTCTGACATCATATACAACTTCTGTACTTCTTTCCCAGTTCAGTTTTACATCATTGATGATGCCCAGTACTCTGTCCACATGGTGGAAAAGACTAGCAAGCCACTTTACAATGAGATCTTTATGTTCTTTTTTAATTTTCTTTTTCTTAAAGCACTTTTACCTTTTGTTGAAGTGGTCCTGATCTTCAATCCATATTCCCAGCATTTTTCAGTCCATTCAATTGAGGTGCTACGAGAAGAAATTACATGGAATAACATGTCCTCTTTATCTTCGTATTTACCTAGATTGTTTGCACAGTTAAATGCGGCAAGTCAAATGCTTTTGCGATATCATTGTCAAAAGACTAAAACAAGCTGCAAGATGTATTTGAAATACTGAGCGCTGATGCATCAAATCTCTACCCCAAATCTATCACTATTTTGAATCACTCATTGTGTAAAAAAAAAAACAAGAGCCATAGAAAATAAAATTACAGGAAAGGGAAACATCGTAAACAAAGATTACCTGTTTATTCATTTTGGTAAAGATAAGTTTTTCTTTATATGTTTATTTTAAGGAGGAGATCGAAGTGAAGTGATCAGAGTCTCTTATTAATATTTTACCATGTTTACAGATGGAGACGTCTGTTTTAAAATCCTACGAGAGCTACGAGCATAAATTACTAGCTTTCTTTATGCCAGCACTTCATCAGCAATGTTTGTTGATGCTAAGAGATTTCCTGATCAGGTATGGTTTCCAAATGAGATAGTTTCATATGTTGAAATGATGTTAAGATCATCATTTTCATTGATCATGTATTCTTTAATATGTGGTCAGCATTCCTCTGTTGCTTATGTAGTTTTGGAAGTTGGCCCTTTTTTCCTTTCTTTCTTTCTTTCTTTCTTCTTTCTTTTCTTTTTTTTCTCTTTTTTCTGTGAATGAGCTGATTTAGACAAGGTTGAAAAGTCTAAAGATCAAAACTAGCATACTGTGAATGAGTTGATAGAGGAAATAAAAATTATCAGGAATTGGTTATTTTGATTGTCTAGTGGGGGTAGTTTCATTACAATATCTAATGTAATACATGAGATATTAGAGAATATACATCACTTTTTTTAATAAACTTGATGACCTTTTTTGGAGTGTGTAGTGTGAACACACATGATTTCATATTAATCTTTATAGGATGTTGAGGCCATAGATATCAAAATATAATGTCTCTAGTGGTATCCATTTTTGTAAAGCTATTTAGCTACTTTTTATTCATAATTGTAGTTTTACTTGTTAAAAAGTTAAGATATAATATATTAACAGGTTATGTGTGATAAGATTTTGGCAGCAGGAATGAACACTAAAAGAAGAAAAGCAAATATATTTTCAGTGTTAGCTCATTATTACGACTAGTTTATTATCAGTATATATATTCTTTGTTAATATGACCATTTTTATGGCATTCATGTTCATATTTCCTCGTATTTTTGTGGTAATGATTTTCCCTTGTTTTCTGTTTACAGCATGAGAGATTGTGTAGACTTATACTTCAGCCTTATAGCAGAATTACTTACTGCAACCATTAAGTCATACTACGACAGCAAGGCCAAAGCTTGGGCTACTAATGGGCAACAGACAAGAATTGTCGCATATTCCGTCATGACCACTCTTGTTGAAGTGTCCCAGGGAAGGCATCCAGCGTCATCCAAGTTGATCGATGTCATTGTGGAAGATCTGATGCCAAAGAACCAAGAATTTACAATAAAGGTAGGTCAGTTGCACTAGCGGGCAGCTTGGATTAGTTTAATAGATTAAGATTTATGATTGAGGGTTATAGGAATAGAATAGGAATGGGGAGGCAGATGAGAGTAGGAATGGGAATGAGGATGAGGATAGGGAAGGGAAGAGGGTTCAAGTGATTTTGGTGATGGTGATGATAGCTATATTATGGTTTTACAGTTCTAAATGATGTGGCTGTTAAAAAATATATTTAAGAATAAGTAAATCATTGTCAGCATGTGTGTTTGTGAGGTGCAATCAAGTGTGTTTGTGAGGTGTAATCTTGATTATCTCATGCATAATATTAATAATAATAACCTCAAATTTCATAACAGAAATATCATGGACCAAAAAAAACTTACTGATCAAATGTCTTGTTGCAGAGCTATGGCAGCAGAGGATTGTCTAATCTCACCCTACAGAAAAAGAAGAGCAAAAAGAAAGGATATGCAGTCTCAACAAAGGACTCAGAGCCTTCAAACACTCCTCTTCCAGAATATGAAAACTTTGGTCGGGTTGTTACTGCTGCCCTGAGATTAGCAGAAGCCTTGTTTAGATATGCGACACATTCTACGCCCTTGATGTCGAGACAGGTTAGGATTTACAGCGAGGAAAGCATTGATGTGCTTTACAGATTTTGTTTTTTGTAAATAGATAAGAAAATAAAATTCTATATACATCAAAGGATATATTTCTAATTGTGTGTATGTACATTTATCTTAGATATTGATATATAATTATTCTAATATTGTGAATACATTTACAGGCATTACAGAAGAGAGTCATAGCTGTAACAGATCGCGTGATGAATGGTAGCCAAATGCCAGTTATCTATTTCGGTGACACGACCCGAGCACAGCTGTTTAAAACTTTAACGTGTATGGCAACTCACCCTGATCCAAGGTGTCCTGTACCTTATACTATGATCTTACATCTGTTTCAAAGGGGCCTGCATGATCACCATATGTCGGTAAGAAAGTGTTAGCATTTCTCTCTCTACTTCTCTACCTGAATGTTATAGTGTCTGAAGCATAACTTCATAAAAGATTTTAGACATCTGATGATAAGGCTTGTAGGATTTTATAATATTTGAATTAGGTTTGATCATTAATCAGAAGTACTTGTAGGTGGTTGCTGCTTGTCAAACTGGTCTCTCGTGTGTTAGCTTCATTACTGCCAACCCACAAATCTCCATGCTAACACAGGTCTTCGAGCAACTACAACGAAGTACTGTTAGTTACGGTAAGGTTTACAAATGTTTGCTCATGCTTATTATATTTTTGTTTGCCTACTGCTGCATGACCTTTTTTGCCTGTGTGTACTCAGTGCTCAAATTGCTGTTGTCACTTTGTTATTACAATCACATTTCTTATTTTTTCAGATGCTGAAGAAAAAGAAAAAGAAGTCGTAGAGAATGGTGTAAATGGAATGGATTGTGATGAACAAGATGAGGAAGAAGAACAAGAGGAGGAGGAGGAAGAAGAAGACAAAGACAAAGAGGAACAAGCGGAGGAAGTTGAAGAAGAACAAGAAGAGGAAGTTGAGGAAGAAGAACAAGAAGAGGAAGTTGAGGAAGAAGAAGAACAAGAGGAGGAAGTTGATGAAGAAAATGAAGATGCAACAGAACAATCAGAGAACATGGATGAAGAACAAGTATGAAATTTATCACTTTCTATAAATTCAAGTTATCCTCTTTTAAAAACAGGATGTGTTTCTCCTGAAAAAGGCATCAGTGGAAAAAAGATGAGCATAAACATTTTGCCAAAACTTTTTTTTGCTAAACATGTGAACAAAGCAAATGCATGATTTTCTTGAGAATATTCATTTGTATGATTTAACTTTATATGCCTGGATACTAGTGATAGGTTTTCAGCCTTATGGTATAGCCATTGTGTTCTGATTCACACGTGATTCACATTTATGGAAGATCAATTATTGAATTTCAGTTGTCTTGCAATTTTTGGTTGTTGAAATTGCCCTATGGATCTCCTGTTCTTTGTTTTTATTTATTCTTTTTTATAGTCTGGAAATTAGGGTTACAGATCAGAGATACTTTTTGATATCTCATTTTGTATATTTTGCAAATGGTAAATAGAATAGAACTTGAATGGATTACTGTTTTACGTCACACAAGATGGAGTTTACTCATGTATATAATCCCCTTATACTTTTACTGTAAAATTTCAAGAGGTTTAAAGAACACTATCTATTTTAAAGAAGAATGGAAATATAGTCTTCATGCTTCTTTAACTCATTAGTGTTAGGATGGCTAGAATTCAAGCTGAGGTCACCGCGTCCTTTTCTTTATTGATTGTCTTTACACATAGATGGCTTTACAAGTACTGAATCACCCAGGAGTCAATTACTTGTCCAATCTAGTTGACCGGTTTGGATAAATTCTGTTTTCAGAGACTACTTTATGATATTGTTGAATCATATATACCTTTTTATGTTTATTAGTATTTTATTTATTTTATTTATCTATTTATGTATTTGATTAACTTATTTTGTTTGTTTTATTGCAGGCTGAACACTTAAACACATTTTACTCAAAGATTGAAATTTTTCGTTATAGGAAGCAGATGCGAGCACTGAAATTCAAATGGAAGACAAAGTGGTTGACGAAGAGGAAGAGGAAGAGGAAGAAGGAGAGGGAGATGTAGAGGAAGCTTCAGGAACAGATGGACAAGCAGAAAGCAAACAAGGAAAGAGTCCAAAGGTATGATAATTTTTGGTATTAATGGATGCTTAATAATGCAGTACTTCCCTTAAATGAAATAATATCAAAATTAATTGTATATAAGATTTCATATTTTGTGTAAACTGTTTAGAGAAAGGAATCCATACTTTTGGATTTGAAATGTCAATTAAAGCTAAAAGTTTGCTACATTCATAATTTTGATAGTGTGAGAAAATTATCTTCAATATTATTTTGCATAGAATGGCTTCTTTAAATACAAGTCATCTTCTTTTAAAAATAGGATGCATCCTTTGGAAAAATAAATAGTAAAAAAAAAAAAAAAGATTTGAGTGGGATGTTGATCATTTTACCTTTATAAATTGTTAAACTAATTGATATTCATAAGTGAAAATACAGTAAATCCCCACAGATTATTTGAAACCAAACCTGTTTGAATAATTGATATCAAACTTTTGATATAATTTTTACTGTATTTTTGTTTTTTGTCTCTAATAGTCAATATTAACATATGAAAGATGTCTTGCTAATTTTAGTGATCACTCATTTACAGGCAAAGAAAGCAGGAAATCGGAAAAAGTTACAGAGGTTACGAAAGAAACAAAAGGCAAAGCAAGCCAAGAATCAGACACCAGAATCTGATGGCAAGTCAAAGGCAACGAAGAGAAATGCAGCCGAGAGTGAGGAAACCACTCCGAAAAAGTCAAAGACAGACCAGGTAACAGATTTTGTATTGATTTATTGTTATTTGATTGTGAATAGTAATACATTGCATATATTTAACTTAGTGTAGTACATGCATATGTAGACATACTTGAATATACCATATACTATTCATAGAAACACATTCACGTGCATATGCACATGTACACACTGACATAGACTCACACTTGTTCTCTCACTTGTATTCTCACTCTCATACTCTCCCACTCTTGTGCACATGCACATGCACACGCACGCACACGCACGCACGCACGCACGCACGCACGCACGCACGCACGCACGCACGCACACGCACGCACCACGCACGCACACACACACACACACACACACACACATATCACATTATTTATATATTCTTTTTTTCTTTTTTCCACAGAAGAATGATCTTGGCCTGAGTGTGGAAGAAATGTTAGCTTCATTTGTTGATGCTGATCCGGATAATTGACATTACATCTGAATTTATGGTTAAGGGAACAGAAATTAAATAACTGTAAATCAGTATAGTAGTTTTTTATTCCCTTGTTATTGAATTACCGAAGAGAAGGAAAAAGACTTTAAAACTATTGTGATTTTTATCTGAGGATAATCAGCTTACATTGGACTGTAAAAATCTTCAAAGGAGACATGTAGAAATCATAAATGTAATGCTGACCAATAATAAGGGCTTCAGATGAGGTTAGAATACATGACGTTATCATGCTACATGTCTTTTCCATAGAACTGTTGGATACGAAACTAAAGGAAATATAAACAGTGAAAAAAAACTTTATAAGGTCCCAGAAATTGAGGATTTCTGGCTCTTGATTCCAGCACTGTAACCCACATTGTTGGACGTGGTACAATGGATGCTACTGCAGACCCATTATAATAAGAATTTAAGAATTAAGGGAAATGGGTTGCTTTTATCATATGAAGTGTGATTCCATGGATTCCTGTTTTTGTCTATAGCTAGTCTAAAAGTTCTGCAATATAAAGAGAAAACAATAGGATAGAGAAATGGTGCATTAGTGAAATAGAGCTCCTGGATGAAGGAAAATGTTATCTGTTGTAGATGTATTGATACACTGGTACTAGGTTTCCTGTGCACAAATTGAGTAAAATCCTTTGAAGTTTACGTGAAAGCCCAGGGGGCCCCTATAGGTGGGGCCTGCAGCCAGTTGCCTTCCATTGTATGGGGCAATGTCAGTGGGGGTGGAATGCCCACCTGGAGTGACTGCTCTTTGCGATAAGATAATTGGTTGCCATTACTGTTGAGGGAATTGAGACAGCTGAGCGTTGAAGTGGCTGCTCTCTCAGAGGTGAGAAGACCTGGCAGCAGCATCTTCAGACCGTATCTTAGCACTTCAAGTCATTGTAGAATGTCGTCTGCTCTTGAGTTTAGGGATGGGCTTCTTGCAGCCTACATCAACCTCAAGAAGGCATTCAATACGGTGCACCAGGGATCACTCTGGAAGATCCTGGAACTGAGAGGAATTCCAACAAGGATTATTAGATTCATAGAAAGTCTGTATAGTACTGAAAGAGCTGTTAAGTGTGGTGGGGGCCTATCAAGCTTCTTTTCAGTTGTTCTGGAGTGAGGCAAGGCTCTGTCCTTGTGCTAACATTTTTCAACACTTGGACTGAATACTGGGTATAGCTACTGTCTAAAGTCATTGTGGAGAAACTCTGGCCAATATCAAGGTTACTTACTTTGACTTTGCTGTTACTTACCTTGACTTTGTTACAAAGTCCCTGGGTCTAGAGGTCTGTTGGATCAAGACCAAGATGCAGGACTTTGGGGGCCTACTAGGAGAATCTGTTTGGTCGGTACATGGACATTTTTACATACCTTGGTAGTGCAGTTGATAACTGGCGGTCAGACCAGGAAGTCAGTAGATGGATTGGTCAGGTGGTAGGATTCAAGAACTCTCTCGACAAGTCTTTGGTAATGCATTACTTGTGTAGAAGGTCCAAGCTGCGAATTTTTAAGGCCCAATATTACCAATTTTACTATACAGTGCTGCAACCTGGACGTTATCCTGTGTCATGGAATTTCGTCTTGATAGCTATTGCAATAGGTCCTTGTGCCAGCTCATGGGGTACAGTTAGCAGAACCATGTGTCCAACCAATGATTACTCCATGAGACTAACACATGGACACATGGTCCTGCCAACTATACCCCATGATCCGGCGTAGGATCGAGACGTGACTCCAAGGCACTAGATACTGTCCAGGTTTCGTTTCCATAGAGCAAAATTGGCAGCATCAAGGCCTTAAAGACACGTAACTTAGTCCTGCTTAGGTACCGGCACCTCCAAATTCTCTTATTGACTGAGTTCATGTCTCCTGCTGCCAGATCTATCCGTCTACTGACTTCCTGGTCTGACAGCCCAGAGACATGAACTGCACTACCAAGGTATGAACAATCACGTATCGACTGAACAGGTTCTCTTAACAGGCCCTCAAAATCCTGGATCTTGGACTTCGTCAAGGAGACCTGCAAGCCCAGGGGCTTTGTATCATTGCTAAATGCTTCAAGAGCTGCTACCAGAGATTCCAGAGACTCAGAATTGCAACATCATCGGCAAAGTCAAGTTCCGTGACCTTGATATTGTACAGTGTTGCTCCACACTGACTTTTGAAAGTAGCTCTGCCCATTATCCAGTGCATGCAAGTATTGAAAAGTGTTCGTGCAAGGACACAGCCTTGATTCACTCCTGAGTTAACAGGGAAGAAACTCGACAAGCCCCACCATACCTTACAACACTTTCAGTACCAGTATATAAGATTGCTATTAATCCAATAATCCATGTCAGAATTCCCCGAAGTCTCAGGATCTCCCGTAACGATTCGCGATGCACCGAATCAGGCGCCTTCTTGAGGTCAATATCGGCTGCGAGCAGCCCACGACCGAACTCACGACGTTCTACATTGACTCGAAGCGCTAG